CCAAGAAACGGTGCGCTGTGAAGGCGTGGGAGGAGGGTTTGGGGCATGGAGGGCCTGTGAGGGGGTGGGTTTTGGGATAGGGGTGGTCTGATAGAGGGGAGGGGAGGTGGGTTTGGGGCTGTGGGGTGGATGGGGGTGGGATTGAAGGCAGGTAGGGATGGAAGGTGGGGTTGTGAGGATTGAGGATGGGCTTGGGGGCAGGCAGGAAGGGAAGAGGGGTTGTGGTGGGTGGGGGTTGAATTGGAGCCGGCAGGGAAAGAAGGAAGGAATTTTGTTGTAGAAGGGATGAATTTTGGAGCAGGCAGGAATAGAGGGGGCTGAAGGGATGGGGTGGGTGTGGGGCAGGCAGGGATGGCTTTGCCTGCCTGAAGCCCCTCCTTTCTGTCCCTGCATGCCCCCAAGTTGTTGTCGCATGTGTCCCACACTTGCCTTTTCCTCTCAGGACAGCATCAGGGGACACCCTTGAGCTAGTGGAGGAATCACTGGACACAGAGCTGCTGAACAATGCTGTGCGTTTATGCATCCAGGGCTGCCCACTGCTGCCAGGTGGTGTGCACCTGTGTGAGGTGCAGAATCATCTGGTGCTGCTCCTGGTCACCGTGCAGAGCGTGCACCGTGTCCTGCTACCCCACCCAGCCCATACCTACCGCGGGGTGAGTGTGTAGAGGGGTTTATGAGGGGCTTAAAGCCTGTACTTGTGGTCATTGGTTTCTCTGGGGGCATTGCTATATGTGAGCAGGGAGAAAACTGCTGGAAAGTGAGCTTTAAAACCTACATCTCTTGGAAAGCAGCAAAAGCAACTGGCAGTGTGAGAGTTCTTACTGAAAGGAAAAACTCTTTTCGTCACATAGCAGTGTTGTTCCATAGGTGCTGGGTTATTTCCTCCATGGCTTATGTATGTGCTTGAGGCTTGTTCTCTTCCCTTTGCCTCTTCCAGGATCTGATAACAGAGAGCCAAATGCAGTCCGTATTTACAGATATTGGCAAAATCAACTTCAGAGATCCATCCAGCTACTACCTGATTCCCAGCGTGCCGGGCTTGGCAGACAATTCGGTGGCCTCAGCAGCTTGGCTGAGCAGTGATGGGGAGGCCCTTTTTGCTCTGCCCTCTGCAGCAGGAGGCATCTTTGTTATTAAGCTTCCTCCTCACGATGTACCTGGTAAGGCTGCATCCTTGCACTTCCTTCTGTGCAACGCAGTATCCCCTCTTTCAGATCTGGATCTTGATGGGTTTGGGTTTTGTCACACGTGCTTCTTATGGCCTTGCTGCACACCAGCCTCCCTGCTGGCAGCAGATGTTTTGTTAGCAAGCACTCTGTGTGTTTTTCTTGCGTTGCTTTTATTTTGCAAGGAGTTGTTTCAGTTGTGGAATTGAAACAGAGCTCGGTGGTGCAGCGCTTCCTCACCGGTTGGATGCCAACGGCCATCAGGTTGGTGTTTGGGGACAAACACAGGGAGCTCACTTTGTTTTACGATTCCCTCACGCAGGAGGAGGTGTTGTTTCTAGTAAAAGTCCAGTGTGGGCAAATCAGCATCTGCAGATGTGGTCTGAAAAGTTAACTGGGTCATGGGCCCTGTCACAGTGAGATGGATTAGTTCATCTTAATGGGGTCCTGCTGATCCCATGCGTTGGTGTTCGTGCGTGCGTTACGTCGAGTAATTGGCCTCTGAGGATTTGCCCAGGATGTGGCTTGCAGCCAGGGCAGATTAAGGATTACAACAGTTGTATGTTCTTGTCCTTGTTCCAAAATGTCAGGCTCCTTTCTGACCAGCAGAGGTTATATGCAGAGGCAGCTCGTTTGGGGACTGTAGTCTTATGGCACATGATCAAACCCAAAGCCCTGTTAAATGCTGGGAATTGTGAAGAAGCCTCAGCACCCTGAGTGAGTTGGATCACCGGGGTGCGTTGCTTGAGGCCAGGCACCTCTCTTTTCCCACCTCAGTCCTTCATCTCTGTTCTTGGGTAAAAATCACAGGAGAAATTGGATGTCTTGAACTTGTGTGCCAACCTTGGCTTCCTTTTAACTCATTCCTGTAATGTCTGTACTTTCAGAGGTGACAGTGGCCCGTCAGATGTGCCCATCAGCCTTGCAGTTCATTGCCTGGACCACGATGCCTTTCTCTTTGCACTCTGCCAGGACCACAAGCTTAGGATGTGGTCCTACAAGGTGAGGCATGTGTTCAGGGCAGCAGTGTGGATGCGGGTGTAGTTTAACAGGTGGCATTGGGTTATTTCCAAATTAACTCAGATAGGCAAGAGCGAGCACCCCAAGGGAAGAGGCAGCACCTGAAATGGGTGTTTGCTGCTTGAGTGGTAATGTAACGTGACTCTTTGTCAACAAGAAGTTAATAAAAGCCTCTGTTTGCTGCGTGCTGCTTGCTCCAGAGCTAATCAACCAGCACAGGCTTTCACGGCTTGGCTGTGCTGGAATGCGTGTCTGCTGTTGGCAGGAGGGGAAGCTTTGTGTGCTGGCTGAAAGCACAGATGAGCTGGGGGAGCTAAACTGCAACCGGAATGCTTACAGTGCACATATGGATGCTTTGCTGACATCCCGGAGGGAAGGATTTGGCCATGCTGCTCCTGGGAAAGAACTGAAGGCAGCTTTGCAGTCCTGTTTATTTCTCACGCTGCTTTGCTGTATTTCCTGTGCAGGATCAAATGTGCCTGATGGTTGCAGACCTCCTGGAGTTCATGCCAGTCAGCAGGGACCTGCGGCTCACAGCCGGCACCGGCCACCGCTTGCGCCTGGCCTTCTCCCAGTCCCTGGGACTGTACCTCGGCGTGTACATGCATGCACCCAAGCGAGGGCAGGTAGGGAACAGCAGGGCTGTCCTGCTATGAGCACGTTTTTCTTGGCCTGTGCAGAAAACACGTCGTTCCTCCTCGGAGCTGAGTATGCATAAGGCAAACAGTTTTGTCCTCAGTATCACAGGGCACGTGTCCTTGCCTCGGGAGGAGAGTTCTCTATGTGATTAAGCCAAGTGCTGATCCGCTCATTCACGGTCTGTCGTGGTAGGACATACGTGCCATGGGAAATGGTCTGAAAGGAGCCATAAATGTGGAAACACTGAGTATGTTTACGTTGGGCTCCTGGGAACGAGCAAGTGCATCGCAGTGCACTGTGAAATGTCAGTTTGTGTAGAACTCCCATGTCGTGTGGTAAATAATAAATCCAGCAGGAGGAGACTGACAGCACAGGATAGCCTCATTTCTTGCACAGCTTCTCCTTGCAGTTCTCTGGGGGATTCGAGCTCTGAGTAGAGGTGCACACTGTGGTTTCTCTCTCTCTCCAGCTAACTCTCCAGTGTTAGCTTACTTGTTAAGGACACACAGAGCTTTGTTTGCAGTAGCTTGCTGGAGGATTCCAGTCTTTTCTGTCTCTGCTTACCTGCATCATGTTGTCGCTCGCAGGAACCAGCAGTGTTGTTTTTCTGGTATTCAGTCTTTTAGAAGACTTCAAGTCCAGGCAGGGATCAGGCTGTCCTGCCGACAAGGCTGGCTGGAGTCCGGAATGCTGGCTCAGTCCAGTCTCTGCTGCCCTTGGCCAGGCAGCTGCCACACCAAGTGCCTGTGAATGGTGGCAGGGAGCAAGGAGAGGCTTCCCTGCAGCACACAGGTTGGTGTTTCTCTTTAGCAAATGACTTACAGGATGTGTTGGTAGTTCTGTGTCTTCCAGCTGGTGAGCACTGAGAGCAGCCGCTACAGCCTTGACCACATATCCTCGCTGTTCTCCTCCCAGGTGAGTGCCAGGGCAAGTCCTTCCAAAATATGAAGGGAGTGTTCTCTGCTGGATTTAACTCTCAGTCAAGAATTCTCTCCAGAATATGGGTAAATTGCATGAGGGAGATTTTGGCTGTTTTTAACCACACAAGTCTCTGCTCTGCTCGCATTTCTGATAACGTCAATCTGTGCCCTTGCTGCAGGAGACTCTCATTGACTTTGCCTTAACCTCGGCTGAGATCTGGGCACTGTGGCATAATGAAGAGAACCAAACCATCGTCAAGTACATCAACTTTGAGCAGTGAGTTTCTGCCTTGAGTTACTGGTGGGGGGAACTGCCAGATGCTGCTCTGCCCATCGAGCGCTCTTACCCAGCACCTCTTGCTGTCACAGTATTCGTGTCATGTGCACAGCTGTGTCTTCCTGCAGTGCAGATCATATGGATACTTTTTAGTTGTTGTTCTGCTGTATAATGCTACAGCTCAGCTGCAGGAATGTGAAAAATGTAAGAAGCCTAGCAGTAGGCTTGGTGTGAGGGAGGGCTGCACTTCACCAACAGTTCCTTCAAAGCAGATCGGGCTGCTCTTTTCCTAGTATGATCATGTTTGGAGATGAGCAGTGACATGAAAGCGTTGCCCTTATTTCCATAAAGCTAAGAGTCCTGGCGCGTAACCAGGCGTGGAGTTAAATACTGGATACAAAAATGCTGAGCATTCAGGTTAGCTGGGGTTGGGAATAGCAGTACAAAGCTCTGCTGGCTCAATCTGTTGTTTGT